CGTACGGATGGAGGTATGGATGTATGAATAAATTGATGAATGTATTTAGGGAATTCATGGAATTCAGTGAGTTTAAATAATTTTTTTTTTTCAAATTGTATATTGAGAAAATGTGAAAAGAATGTGATAATGATCAAAAAAAGAAGTTGTAATTACAAACAACTCATGATTTTGAAAATCAATCTTTTTTGTGTGGAACAACAAACATTTTTTTATTAAATTCATGTGTCAAATAGAATTTTATACTATATATATATATATATATATATATATATATACTATATATTATTATAATAATATATAATAAAGATAATGGTGGTTGTAGTGGAAGAAATGGTTGATAATTTAGTGTATAATTTTTTGGCAAGAAAGATTTTTCTAACGGGAATTTTAAAATTGATTTCAATCGGTAGGAAGAAACAGTTTATTTGATCGATTGACGACTCATAAAAAGATTTGTGAACGATATGATTCAAATTAAATTTTGGAGAATTAGAGAGCGTTTGATAATAAACAAAATAATTAAATGAATAGTTTTACTCGACTAATCGACTAATCAACTAATCGATCGTGACACATAATTAATTCAACGACGCAGTAAATATATACGACGATATAATTATATACTATTAATTAAATATGGAATTAATTAAAGATTAGTTGAATGATCACGTGTAAATTAAGAAGTTTAAACCGAATTTGATACGAGATTGATTTCAAAAATTGAAGGGAAAAAAATGCGTAGTTTTTATTCTCTTTTCCTCACGTTAAAAAGTCCATGTAAAAAATATTCGATTTTAATTTTAAAAAATTCAAAAAATTAATAATTTTTTAATTAATCTAAATTAATGTTCATTCATCAATTTTATTTTTATTATAATAATAATAATAAATAGTAAACAAATAATATCAAATAGCAGTGGTAAATAAAATATAAATAAAATAAATCATTTATATTGATCGAAAAATTAAATAATATTTCGTGTACGACAAATATAATGATAATATGACTTATTTGTTTATTTATTTATTTGTTTGTTTGTGTGCGCAAAATAAATATACGTAGAATTTTTCTTATCTTTTGAATGTAGATTGTAAATCTTTTCTTTATAAAATAAGATTCTTGACCATTGACAAGAAATTTAGATATGTAATATATTATATTAGCCATTTCTAAAACGGATTAGTCAAATTATTATTATAATAAAAAAAAACTTTTAAGTTGAAAAATATCATCAAAACAAAACATCATCAAAGTCTTTGTTCTTCTTTCTTTATTAATAATTAATTACTTTATATATATATAATTCTAACATATAAAGTAAACAGTATATATAGGTTACAATAGAAAATATCAGAGTGAGCGAGCGAGCGAGTGAGAAAATAACAGGTAAAATAACAACAACTGTCAGATAAGTAAAAAAAAAAATTTAAAATTACTGGATTTTTCTAAATAAGGTGTTTGAAGTGTCAAAAACTATCTTTATCAAAATAGTAAATAAAATTGAACCAGATTTTTGTCGGGGTTTCGCGAAAAATAAATAGTTCATTGACGTAACTATTATTTATTATTATTGATGACGACGTGTGTATATGTTTATTGTTTTTTTGGAAAAACCGATTAAAGATTTGTTTTATCAATTTTCTCTATTGCCTACTACTCATTCTGTCAATCAAATATCAATTAGTAACTAGTATCAGTCGACTCATTCAAAATGTAACGTATGTTGTACGTGTATTCTTCTTATACTATAATACACTTTTACTTAGTTCAATAGAAAGCTTTTCTTTGACAATATTTAAATAGATAAATTAAAATAAATAAAGAAATTTTGATCAAATAAAAATTTTTTATAATTAACCATACAAATACTACGTAAATAATATACACATTAAGCAATCAATGGATGGATCACTCACACCACA